TATCTATCTGGCCCGTTACAGCCTACTAAGAGTATAGTCTCTTTCTGCTTGAAAATATATGAATATTCCTTAGAGAATAATACCTTCACTATACTAAGCCAGCCATTGACTAGACAGACTCGAAAGTCTATAAAGATTATAAAGGTTCTAACTTTTAAGACTTAATATAAAAGCTTTAGATTATCATGATTAGGAAAGAGATTGGAAACGGGACAGCCTTATATATACCTAAAGCTCCTCAAATCAATGACACTTAAGAGGATTAGATCTCTAGAGTCTTAAACTCTATTGTCGCTATAGAAGGACCTAGAGTTAAGGCAGAATATAGCGACTATATTTTGAAGATGAATATAAAGGTTGACTCTAATAAGCTAAAGAAGATACTTAATCCTCGAAAAAATATCTTTAATCAATTGTTGAAAGATAGGGCTAATAATAAGACTAAGGTTTATTAATATAGTTAAGGAATCCTTTTTACGAATATAAAAGACGATTTGATAAAGGAAGAGATAAAGGCTTTAAGCAATAAAGTTAGCTCTATAGATCTAGATGATAGTAGAGTCCCTTCTTACGATAGCTTAAGTAGAGGAAGTATATTTAAATACTATACCTAAATAAGCAATCAAGCTATATCACTAAGTCGACTCCTTATTTCTTGAGGACAATCTAATAATGATCAGCGGAAATAGATTCTTACTAGGCCTTAAGTACTATAGCTAGATAATAAACCATCGATCAAGAAACGCCCTACTTATAATCATCACCTTAAACCTAATATCCACTTATCGCCATCATATAAGGCTGGATAGATAGGCTAAGCCAATTATAAGAGGGAATAAAGACTGATCATTAGAAAAACTTATCCTAATCTAGCATAGAAGAAAGAAGAGTAGAATAGGGCCTAAGATTTGAGGGCTTAGCAAAGGCAAGGATCTGAGGCTATAAGAGCTCCTATTTTATCCTCTATACCTTAATCTCCTCAGAGTAGCATTATATGGTCTAATCACTCTCAAAATCCTTCTCAGCCTCCTTAGAATCCTGATCGAAGGGAAGAATCACTTCCTACTAGAGATAGTCGGACTTAATAAGGGTATGGTAGAAGATATTTAAGTAAGCTGACGAGGTTTAGTGAGAGACTTTGCAAACAGCATAAAAAGCCGTAAAGTCCACTAATCAAGACTCTATCTAGCTGGATGAGCCAGTAGGCCATCCTAAGCTTCATATAT